GGTGCAGGGGGAGGGGCAGCGTCCCCCCCAGACGGGCTGCTGCTTTCAGGAGCTTCTGGAAGGAATCTCTCCGTAATGCTCCCAAGGTCCTGGCACCATCGGCTGGGGAGATTGATTACCATTTTACTGCAATGCTTTTGACTTTCACCAGCGACCCCCGAGCCCCCCCCCAGCCCCCCCACCACCACTGCACACCCAGCTCTGGGCTGCAGCGCCGTCCCCTCCCCCACTGCGGTGTGCACAGCCCAGCCCTCACCCAGCCCCGCACCCATCCCGCACCCATCCTGCTCCCATCTTGCATCCAGCCCTGCTCCCACTCTGCATCCATCCTGCATCCAGCCCTGCTCCCATCCTGCATCCATCCTGCATCGAGTTCTGCTCACATCCAGCACTCATCTTGCATCAAACCCTGCTCCTATCCCGCACCAATCCCGATCCCATCCCGCCTGGAGGTGCCGGGGGTGCAGCGCTGGGCGCAGGATGGGTGCAAGATGTGCTGGGGCCGGTGCTGCTCTGGGCAGTGGACCCAGGTAGCCGGTACCCCCTGCACCCCACAGCGACCCCCGGGGCCAGTAGGGTGGGATGGGGTCTCCCACCAGCCCGGCACTGCTCGTGCCTCAGTTTCCCCATCCAGGGGCAGGGAAATCCGAGCGGCGCTTCCCGGCAGACGGATGGGGGGGAGAGCCGAGGGGCAGAGCTCGCCCTTGGCATCGGGCCGGGTGGGCCGGTCGGGCGCTCGGCACCCCCGAGGATGCCTCAGACGGCGGGAGGGGAGCGCAGGGCCGGGGGCTCCTCCATCCTCCCCCCTCTCCGGCGTTGCCAGAGCAGCGGCTGGGAAATTGTGCTGACACCGGCAAAACCGGGCGGCGGGGGCGGGGGAGCGCGGGCGCACGTGCTCGGGCTGATAACGGGGGGCCGCGGGGGCTGCGGGGAGCCCGGGCTGCCCGGCCGGGGGGCCCTGCGCGGGCGAGACCCCCCCCTTTGGGGCTGGGGATGCTGCGGGAGGCCGGGGGGGAGCGGGCAGGCAGGGCGGTGGAGGCAGGAGGGGGCAGGAGCGGGCAGGAGGAAGCAGGCAGGAGGAAGCAGGCAGGAGGAAGCAGGCAGGAGGAAGCAGGCAGGATCAGGCAGGAGGGGGCAGGCAGGACCAGGCAGGCAGTGTGTCGGAGAGGGAGCAGGCAGGAGGGGGCACGCAGGAGGGGGCAGATAGAAATGGGCAGTCAGAAATGGGCAGATAGGCAGGAGCAGGTAGGCAGGAGCTGGCAGGCAGGAGGGAGCAGGCAGAAGGGAGCAGGCAGCGTGGTGGGCAGGGAGAAGGCCAGTGAGCCTGCAAGGCCATAGCACAGTGATCCCCAGCACCCCCTGAGTGCTGTCACCCAGCCTGGCCCATGCCATGCAGGGCCCCAACAGTGCAGTGGCTGCCCCCATATCCCTCCTTGCCTCAGTTTCCCCACCAAGGTGTGAGGCCAGAGGCCCCCTTGCCAGGCACAGCCTAATGGAATGTGCCCACTGCGCGCTGGAACCGGGCCATGCCGAGCACCCACCACCCAGCAGCACCCTGGAGGTCCCCTGCCATCGCTCCTGGCCCATCCTGGTCCCCCTTAACCGGAGCCAGAGCGACCTTAACAGCAAAAGTGAGAGGCTGCCAGGCCTTATCAGAGAGTATTTACAGCCGCTGTGTTCCCAATTAGACAGTCAGGTGACTGCGGCTGCTGGAGACCCAGACACCGGGGTCAAGGTCGTTGGTGGGGGCCTGGGGGTGGCAGAGGGGCAGCCACCTCCCCGGGGACACCAGCTGGCCATGGCATGGCCAGGGAAGCTGCCGGCACAGCACCCCAGTGTGGCACACCAGGTGGTAACGGGACCCCATCGCGGCTGCCACGGGGGTCCTGGTCCCTGCCGTCGGCACGGCCACTGCAGGGCTCCCAGTCCAGCGTCAGGGTGCTCCCAGTCCAGCGTCAGGGTGCTCCCAGTCCAGCCCAGCCCAGAGTACCCCAGCCCAGTGTGACACTACACCTCCCACTGAGCCAGCACAGGGTGTCCCCCGTACGAAGTGCTCCCAAAACAGCAGCACCCCAGTTAAGCCCAGTACCCCATCACAGTTCAGACCATCATGGCCATGTCTCAGGCCAGTACATGACATTCTGCCCAGCTGCACAGGGCACCCACAGCCCCCCAGGCAGCACCCTGGGCTCCCCATTCCAAGCACAGCACCCACCGTTCCCCTGTTGGGAATCAATGGCACCAGGCCCCATTGGGTCCCATCCTGCCCCCGAGTAGGTGAGCCCTGTGCGTGGGCACAGGTGTGTGGTGCTGGCAGCACATGTGCTCACATGTGCTCACACACCAGGGAACACGGCCGGGCAGCCAGGGCCTGGCTGCACACGCGTGTGCAACTGCACATGTGATCTGTACCCGCCCTGCATCCACCTGGGGTCCCCCCTGGACCCTGGGGCAGGATCTGGCCCCGGCTATTCCCCGCTGGAGGCTGTGCCCTGCTTTTTCCCAAAGCCATAAGGGGCTGGTGGTCCCACCAAGCCCCTCCCCTGGGGAGCAGGGGGGTGTCACATGCCCGTCCTGCCTCAGTTTCCCCAGTGACACCCAGCATATCCCACTGCTGGCCAGCCAGGGCAGAGCCTGTGCCCACCATGATTCACAGCGCTGGCACCCCTTTGCTGGGACTGCTGGCACCACGGTGGCCTCTGTGGTGTCACTGTCTGTCCCTGGGCTCTGGCCAATGCTGGGCAAGGAGCCACCAGCCCCACACTCCCCCTGCCGTGCTGTTGATGGGAATGGGCTCACGGGGCTGCAGGGCATCACCCAGTGCTGGGGGCATGGGCAGGGGATTGCTGCCAGAAGGGGACCAATGTCCTGGTCCCTGCACACCTGGGCAGCCTGGCCTGGGCATAGGGTGGGCACGAGCCCTGTGACTGGCCCTTGGGGCTGCACGTTGCAGCCCCCCTGGCTCTGAACCACCCCGTGTAACAGCCCTGCCCTCACCCGTGGGGATCACAGCATCTCCCCTGGCTCCTCACACACCCGGGGGCGTTGGGAGGGGGTCGGGGTCTGTGGGGGACCCCAGCTGCTGGCAGGGTGTCTGTGCCAGCACGTCACCAGCCTGGGACAGCAAACCTGCCCAGAAAAAAATTTTTACTGATGAGCTTCCCCTCCCAGCACACCGGAAGATGACGTGAACTGGACGGCTCAGGGACCCAACCCAGGACCCGCTCCCTGCCCTGCCCACTGTGCCTCAGTTTCCCCCTTTTGATCAACAAGGCTTCGAGAGCAGATCTGACCCTCCCTGCTGCAGTGAAACCAGCCCAGTTCTCCCATCAAGTCTGTGGGACCCCCAGTCTGGGGAGCAGCATCCCCCTGGGACACAGCAGGAGCTGCTGGGGTTTGTCCCCACCAGTGTTATCACTGCTCCCTGCCCAGTTGGTCTTGCTGCCCCCGTCCCTGCTCTGTCACTGACAGGTCGGGACTGCAACCCACGGCAAACGGGCACTGCTGGACCCCTCCCAGCTCCAGCTCTCGGGGGATGTGCCAGGAACAGACTGTCCCTTCCCTGCCCACGCTGCCCACCTGCTCTGGCACAGGCAGCCCCTCAGGCAGGTGCAGGATGTGGGGTTAACCCTCCAAAACTCCATGCTGGGGACGCCCAGAGCCAGGAGCATCCTCAGGGACCTTTGCCTCCTCCCAGTCCTGGGCAGCTGGGATCTGTCTTGTCTGGGGGAGAGGGGCAGTGTGGGGGGCACCAACCCAAAAAGCAGTTCGGAGAGAGGGAAGAACTGCAAAGTCTGCAATGGGAAACATGTCCCAGAGCAGTGTCCCCAGGCCAGAGACGGGGATGGGAAAGATGGGGAGGGAAAGCTGGATCAAACCCCGCTGGAATCAGGTGTGGCAGGGCACAGCCAGGCTCTGCCCCGCAGGTAGACAAGCACCCACCTCTCTCACGGACGAAATACGCCAGGTAGAGGTCGAGCTCCTTGACAGAGACACTGATGTGGTGGGGCTGGACGCAGAGGATGGGGTTGGTGCACTGGCCAGACTTGACCAGGCGCTCGCCATCGGTGCTCTCCAGCGGGATCCCTTTGAAGAGGATGACCATGACCAGGTCCAGCCGCCACACCTTGTCGGCCTGGCGCAGGCAGTCGATGCGACGCATCTTGCCCTTCTGGTCGGGGTTGGAGAGGACGCAGCACGAGGGCTTCTTGCCCGTGATGGAGAGCACGAAGTCCTCGCGGCACTCGGGCCGGATGTCCTTGCGCAGCTTGGCCAGGAGGCGCGAGGCCCATTTCTGCTTGACCTCCGGCTTCTCGCCCAGCAGCTCGTCCTTGACGGCGCGTTCCTCCTCCTTGGACATCCTCTTCTCGTGCTTCTTGAAGTACTTGCGCTTGCGGGCCTGCAGGTTGAACCACGTGTAGGCAAAGGCCCTGACGTGGGGGAGCAGCGCCTCGATGAAGGGGTGGAACTCATCCTGCGGGAGCAGAGGGACAGGGGGTCACTCCTGGTTGACCTCTCCCAACCACCCGGCGTGGCTGGGGAGCCCTGGGGACCTGTCAGGCTCATCCCCGCTGGGCTGCATTCCAGCACAACCAGGAGGAAAAGCTGTGGCAGAGGCACATGCCCATCAGGGATGGGGACCCCCTCACCACACAGCAGGGTTGTCCCTGTCCCAGGAGACTCCCATAAATCCCACCGCCTGCAATTCTCCCACCAACAACCTGCGTGGGGTGGTTGGGCCATACTGGAGCCGGTGGTGCCGCGGAGGGACAGGCACCTGCACAAGGTTTGCCATCTTGGCAGCACCTGGACCCGTGCCCCTTCCCAGCCCCACGTGCTGGGATCTGCTCCCCCCAGGCGCAGAAATCCCTCCTGAAATCCCACCTGACATCGTGCCCACCGGAGCCGCTGTGCCAGCGTCAGGCGCTGCCAGTCCGCAACACCCCAGCGCCGGGTCCCCCACACCCCCAGCATGCCGGGAGCTCCCGCTCGAGCTCTGGGCGCCTTGGACCTCTCCACTCCCTCTGGACCAGCGGGAAACTCCCCCAGTTTGCCCCAGTTGCAGCCAGACCGGCGGCTGGCGCCCGGCCCGGCGCACAAGGCGTGCTCTGACTGCCTTTTTCCATTTGGCGAGCGCTGCTGGATGAGTCCGGCCCCAAAAAGAAAACAAGGAAAATGCATCCCCCTCCCTGGCCCCTCCTTCCCGCATCCCATTTTTTTTTTCTTTTTTCCAGCTTGGAAAAAATCAGTGCTTCCTGGCTGGGGGCAGGCTCACAACACCCCCACAGGATGGAAAGGTGTTGGGAGCCTTCCTGGGGAGAAGCGGCACAGCTTGGAAAGCAGCAGGGAGAGGGTTGAGCATCCCCGTGCGTGGCCAGGGCGGTACCAAGATGGTCCTCGAGGGCAGGATTTACCCTCGGGGTCCCTCATGATGGTGAAGAGGAGGAGGAGGAGGAAGGAGCCCACCTAGAGTCTGCCACAGGGTGCCAGGGCTGGGCAGGTGGTGGCTGGTGACAACTGCCACTGCTGTGCCACAGCCCTGGTTAGCAGGGCCGTGCCCGGGTTTGGGTCACCCTCTCAGTAGGGAGGGTGCCAAGGGCAGGCGTTGCTCCGGGATCAGGAGGTGGCTGCGGGCAGGAGCTGGGAGAGGACAGAGCCCTGGCAGTGGGACGGGGCCGGTGGCTGACCCCACTAATCCCAGAGCAGTGATGCCATTTCCCGGCTGAAGCAGCCGTGTCCCAGGGCGACCCTGCCCGGGAGGAAGGGTGTCCCCTCCACGAAGCAGGCTCCCTGCAGCACTGGCCCCATACAGACCCCACTAATTCCCACTCATCCCCAAGTCCAGCACAGATCCCATTAACCACAAACCTGCTCCTGTGAAACCCCAAACCTGCTCCCCCAGCACAAACCCTGCCAATGGCCAGCACAGTGCCATGGCACAGCCCTGGGTGTACCCTGGACCAGCATCCCCCTCACAGACCCGGCAAGACACCCCAGCACAGACTCCACTGTCCTCCGAACCCAGCACAGCCCCCTTTAACTGCCAGCACCAGCCCCCAGCACAGCCCCACTAATCCCCCAAAAGTCCCCCCAAGCACAGACCCTTCCCCTCAGCACAGACCCCATCATACAGAGGAGTGCCAGCCGCTCTCTGGACCCAGAGCTGTGACCCCACAGGTGTCCCCCCCCATACCCCACAAGGGACAGGGGGACTGTTCCCTTACCAGAGAACCTGTTGGACCCATGGAGACTCAGCCCTGCCAGCAGACCCATCCTGACCTGGGCACCCGTCCCTGCCTGGGGGACTCATCCTGCCAGGAGAACCCGTCCTTGCCCGGAGGACCCGTCCCTGCCCGGAGGACCTGTCCCCGCCGGCTGCTCCCGGGGCGGTCACAGGGTCTGGTTCCCGGTTCCCTCCCCAGCAGCAGCCGCTAATTCAGTGCAGCTGGGCAAGGGCTGGGCATGTGTCTTAAATCAGGGAAGAAGGTCAAAGAAAAGTAAGACAGGAGCCGAAAAAAGCAGCAGTGAGTTCCAAAAACAATACTTGGCCGGGGCGGTGGGCGGCTGATCTTCCTTGGTGGCCGGTTATTCAGACGAGCCCGACAAATTGCTGCCATCCCCTGGCCCCGCCACCCTCCCCAGGCAGCGGCGGCAGGGCTGGCCACGGGGCAAGGGGGACACCACGCCATTGTCCCCATCCCTGCCCTCCCGCTGGGCAGTGCCACCCCAGGCACCGCTGCAGGGAAGCAGGGCAGGAACCAAGTTATTCGGGTTGGGCAAGGCAGCACCCTTGGGTGCTGTTTGTGCTCACTGCAGGGGCCAAAGGGTGCTTGGTGCCCTGCCTTGGGACAGCAGGGATGAGCCCTGGTTTCGGTGCCCCCCCTTGCCACGGTGCTGAGGATGTTCAGATCTCATTTGGACCCGCATCTGAGACCCCCCAAAAACCCGCCGTGTGCAGAAGCCCCTGTGACCCTTGGTGCCCCCGAAGCCATCTCAGCCCCCCCCTCCGCCTTCCCCGGGATTAAGGCAGGCCGGGAGCTGCACCCAAAGCCAATCAGCCCCTCGCCAACTTTCCCTCCCGCCGGGCTTATCCCGCGCCGCGATGCCGCGGTTAAGCCGCTTTAACAGAGCAGGCGAGGGCGGCCGGGGGGCACCGGGACAGCCACACGGGACGGCTGCGGCTGGGGGATAAGGGGACACGCTAGAGGACTTGGGGGCCGTCCCCATCCCTGCATCACCGGCACTCTGCAGCCAGTGAGCCTCTCAGCCGGACACGCCATCCTGGCTCCACTTGGGAAGGAAGGGATGCACTGTCCATCCCAGTCCCCGATTCCCACCGGGTTCCCCCCATCCAGCAGCCGGAGCTCCGGCAAAGGGCTGGTTAAGTGTTTCTCCTGCTGTTTTTCCTTTGCGGGGCTGGGAAGCAGAGACGTGCTGCAATACCCCAGACGAGGCTGCTCCCGGGGCATTTCCGGATGGGAATCTGGCAGCAGAGCCTGTGCTTGGGCCTCATCCAGCCCAGGCTTGTAAAGCCCTGCAACCCAGGCAGGAGCACGCCTGCGTCGGGTGCTGCCGGCCCCGCTCCGGGCCCCCCTGCACCCCCCTTCCAGGGGCTGCCGGAGCGCTGACTTCCCGTGCCAGGTTCTGCGAGGGGAAACTGAGGCACGGGTCAAGCCCGGTTCTGTCCTGTGGTGGGGCGGGGAGGGGAAGGAGAGATGCTCTGTGGGGAGCTGGGCATGCCATGGAGGATTAACTCCTCCGCAGCCCAGGTTTTGGCAGCGCCAGGGAGCGGGAATGGGCACAGCCGAGGCGCTGCCTCTCCCCGTGCTCCTGCCACCGGCTCGGCCAGCACCGGGGCTCTGCACCCTGGGGACCCTCCTCCCTGGGGACGCGGGGGATGCTCTGTGCCACGCAGGGACACAGCACCGGGTTCGGTTACCACAGCATGGGTTGGCCACCCTCCGAGCATCCTCCGCTCCGGCGCCTTGTCCAAACAGGTCGGGCTCAGTGAAACAGCCTGAATTTTCCAATGAAAAAAACGTTTCCTCAGGAAATTCCCGAGCAGTTTTCACGGGGGAGAGCGGGGAGGGGGGGGGAGCGGGGGGGCCGAGGGGTGGAGGAGGAGGAGGAGGGGGGACGGGAGGGGTCAGACACCTCGGCCGTGGGTTTTGCTCCCCACCAGCACAGCCCCGGCTGCGGGGAGGAGCGGGATGCCATCCCCACCGCGGGCAGCGAGCGACGCGGGACGACCTCTCTGCATCCCAGCCCTGCAGGGACCACACAGGGCTTATTTTATGAAAGGATGCTCAGCCTCCCCGCCAGCAGCCACACACCTCCGAACCGCTGCCGGCTCCCACGGCCGCCGCTCCTGCCAGGTCCTGCTTCCCGCGGCCCGGCGAGCCCGGGCAGGGGCTGGCAAGTCGTGTGCTGGGCGCCGTGCCCCCATGGGAAGCCTTGGTGCGGCGGCGGGGAGGGGAGGAGGGGGGGGGAAATGCAGCTACAGAGATTCCGGTAATCCTGAAAATCCCAAAATCTGAAAGGGGCTCAGCGGGGACTTGCTTTTCCCTCGCTGGAGCCCGTGGACGCCCTTGGCACGGATCGTGAAGCCTCCGGTAGCTGCTTATAACTGTTCTCCGAAGCGGCTCTGGGTAATAAGTTAACCTGGTAATGAGACCTGTTGCCGAGACAGATGCAAATGATTGGGAAGTGCTCATTAGAGGGGATGGAAGGAGGCACTTAGGCCCTGAAAGGCACCCAGCCCTTCCCGGGGCCGCCCTGCACCCTATTAGAGCCCATTTTACAATAATTGCTCCAGAGGAGGAAATCTATTTGGATTCATCATAAAGTATTTATTAACAAGAGCTTATTCATAATTTTTGCTGCTCGCCGGCGTGGCGGGGCCAGGAATCCTGGCCTGCTCCCATCGGAACACGGCTTCCCTGGCCCAGGAGAGTGGCAGCACTGCACTGGGGGGGCAGCGAGGGGGCACGGGGGCAGCTGAAGCTCCCAGGGCAGGTACGAGCTGTGCTGGCCTTGCCTGAGCACACCTGGCCCCACGGCAGAGCTGCCCGTGGGGCAGAACACGCTGTCACAGCCACGTTCCCCCCCCAGCTCCTGGCTGATCCAGCTTGCAAATCCCCTCCTGCAGCCCATGCTGGGGCACAGAGACCCAGTGCCCAGGGCACTTGGCTGCCACCCCCACACAGGTGAAGGCAGGACACAGCGCAACCTCCCCACAGCTCCTCTCCCCAGATCTTTTTGTAGCTTTTTTTGCCCAACAGAGCCAAGAGCATCCTCCAGCCAACATCCATGCATGGCTCGGGGCTGTGGGTGGGCTGTACCCACCTTGGGCTCTTGGGAGGGCGAGCAGAGACAAGGCAGAGAGGGGCTCCCACCCTGACACTCGGCCCCACTCAGGCCCAGCCCAGGTGGGGGGATGTGCTCACACAGCCCCCGGTGCTCACCACGCGCTTG